GGGGGGCGGGTGGAGGCGAGAGCGAGCGGGGCATGCGCAGTGGGGCGGAGGAGGTGGCGATGGCCGGGGGAGGCGGGGGGACTGCTGTTTATTTGCAGCTGGGCCAACTCGGCGGCGCAGGCGGCGGCGGAGCGCGGGGCGCCAGCGGCGGGTCCAGCTGCCGCTGCACCATGCCCGAGCCCACCTCCGGGCAGCCGCGGCGCGCCGCCGGGGCCCCGGCCGGGGAGGATGCCAGACGCCCGGGAGCTGCCAGGGCAGCGGTGGTGGCGGCGGCGGCGCGATGGTAGTGACAGGCTGTGCCCGAGGCGGCGGCGGCGGGTGGCAGGGGACCGCGTCTCCTCTCCCGGTTGTGGGCCAGGACTCGCGTTGCCGGGCACGGCGCTGCTGGTTGACGACGATGTGTTCGTGCTACGGCTGCCTCGCAGGGCGAGTTCGTGCACGACGACGTGTGGGCGATCGTGAACAACCCCGACGTGCGGCCCGGCGCCCCCCTCCGCTGGGGCATCTTCACCAACGACTTCTGGGGCAAGGGCATGGCCGAGAACACCAGCCACAAGTCCTACCGACCGCTCTGCGTCCTCACCTTCAAGTGAGTCCCTCACCTCGCGCCTGCAGCCGCCGCAGTTTCTCCTCACCCCCCAGCCCGAGCTGGGCGAAGTTGCGGGACCCGCGTGGGGGGCGCTCCTTTTCTTGCGGCGCCTTCCCCTCCACGCCTCCCTCCTGTCCTCCCGTCCACGCCACTCTGCTCCGCGGTCCCAGGCCCCGCTTCTCCGGGCTCCCGGGGCGGTTCGGGAGGCGCGGGCTGGGAGTTGGGATCGAGTTTCTCAAGAGTCTGTGCTCTCAGCGGGCTGGTCTGTCGGGCAAGGACTTGGCGCGGGGCTGGTAGAGCTGCTCCCGCACCCCACCCCTGCCGGACAGTGGTCAAGTGCGACGGTGCGGGCCCAGCGAGTTCCGGACTGGGGGGCTGTAGTGGGAATGCTTCCAAGTTGGGAATTTCTCAGAGGCTGTTGGGCAGCTTCGCTGATGGAGACAGAGGATCAGTCCCTTTGGGGTCGCGTTCGGAGAAGAGGCGAGAGCTGTGAGCTGCCAGGGCTGCTTGGGTTTTGGGGAGGCGCAGAGGAGGGAGCAGAGGCTCTACCCCGACCCGCAGCCTTTGGTTGCTCTCCAAGCCTTTCCAATCTGCTGGTCTGCGGAAGGGCTCGGGATTTAGATTTTAAAAGATGCAAAGCAAAGGAATGCAGAAGCGTGGGATCCTCTGGGGATCCTGGTGTCCCAGTCGAAATAGTTTTCGTTTCACAACCTCAGAGTCATGATTCAGCATTTCTGGTGTGAATAAAGTGTAAAGGGAGCCGAGAGAACGCCAGGTTTTTGTAGGGTGGAGTATTTTCTTGAATTTAAAAGAGGGCTTGCTTCAGATGGATGGGGAGGAGGGCTTTGTATGAGTACTATCTCCTACACCATGAGCTTGACTCAACCCCTTATAATTTGGCTCAGTGTTTAAGCTTAACAGTGTGTCGGACAAAAACTTGAAATAATATTGGTTCGGTATCATCAGTGTTTTAAGCCTTTTCCAGTGGGTGTAATATGAACCCGTCTTTATGGTAGTGGTCATCCGAGACGGGATAGGCAGCTTGAAAAGCCTGCCTCTGGCCAGGAGGCCAAGGTCTCTTGACAGGTGGCTCAGATGACTTAGAAAAGGAAACCATAGCAGTTGGCAGTAATTCATGGGCTTTTGACTTAATTTTTCCATTGAAAGTTCAGTGTTTTAAAGAGAGTGAGGAAATTGCACATTTGAATCTGGAGAGAATATTTTGTAAACATTTGTCCGCTTAGGAAGCAGTTTTGGTGTTCCGCTGAAAGATAACGTCAGCTACTGAGTGAGTTGCTCCGTACTTTCAGTTTTCTAAATGTTTCTTAAAATCTCCTTAGATGACACAAATATATATGTTTACTTTCTAGATTGACCTGCTTTTTCATTTATTACAGTGAGGGTTGGTGGTTAATTTAAGGTGTGAAAGCTCACAGCATGAGATGTGCTGGGCTTGTAACAGCCATGGAGACCGTCTTGATTTGAGCATTTTCCATTTTAAAAGGTCAGGGCCAAAAGCCTGTGCCCACTTGGTGGAGAGTGGGGAAGATGTTTTCACTTCTTGACTTTCTAAAATGTTTTTTTCATTCATGCAGGAAATGGCAAGGACAGAAAAGAGAGGAGTGGGGGAAGGAAGTAGACAATGAAGCAAGGCCATTGATGAAGAGGAATGGTAGCAAGGGTTTGGGGGAACAGGGGCAGAGAAAGGAGAGTTGGGAGGGCCAGGGCCAAATCCTCACTGTGTACTCTTTGGTCACAAAATGCAGATTGGTGTCTAATGCCATTGTTCCTTGTATATTGCATCTATTTTGTTTTTGTTTTTGAGAAGGTTGAGTTGCAAATCTAGAAAGCAACACAGCACTAATTGGAAAGGGGTAGATGTCTCTTCAAAGAGAAAGTTCATCTTTCTGTGCTCACAGGTGTGGATTTAAATAGGACCTAGAAGCTGTCTCCATACTGCATCTTCTGCAATAGCTTAAAGAGGGGCACGTATAAGAGCTGGCATCGATGATGTTAGACCCACCCAACTCTAAAGATTGTTGCAAGCAAGGACAGAAAATCGCATTTATTAACTATTCAGTGTGAACCAAACATTGGCCTAAGCACTTTACACAGATTGTTTTTTTTTTTTTAAATTTTTTTTTAACGTTTTATTTATTTTTGAGACAGGGAGAGACAGAGCATGAACAGGGGAGGGTCAGAGAGAGGGAGACACAGAATCTGAAACAGGCTCCAGGCTCCGAGCTGTCAGCACAGAGCCCGACGCGGGGCTCGAACTCACGGACCACGAGATCATGACCTGAGCCGAAGTCGGCCACTTAACCGACTGAGCCACCCAGGAGCCCCTACACAGATTATGTTTTTATGATTTTTATTTTAGGTAGTTGGTGAAAATAAAGTGGCTTGTTAAATATACATACAAACTATCTTAATTATATCTTAAGGTAGGAATGTTTGAATAAAAATCTTTGAGAATTCAAAACGATTTTTTAAATTTTTTTTTTTCAACGTTTATTTATTTTTGGGACAGAGAGAGACAGAGCATGAACGGGGGAGGGGCAGAGAGAGAGGGAGACACAGAATTGGAAACAGGCTCCAGGCTCTGAGCCATCAGCCCAGAGCCTGACGCGGGGCTCGAACTCACAGACCGCGAGATCGTGACCTGGCTGAAGTCGGACGCTTAACCGACTGCGCCACCCAGGCGCCCCTCAAAACGATTTTTTATTTTTATTGTAAGAAGTCATAATATAAGATTTGCCATGTACAGTTTTTAAGAGCTTGATAAAATATTATTAACTATAGGCACAATGATTTACAACAGATCTCTGGCACTCATTTCTCTTGCATAACTGGAACTATAGACCTGCTGAACAGCAACACTCCAGGGCTCCATTCCCCCTGCCCTTGGTAGCCATAATTCTATTCTCTGTATTTCCGTGATTTTGACTATTTTAGATACCTTATATAAGTATAATCATGCAGTATTTGTCCTGTGACTGGCTTATTTTACTTAGCATAATGTCCTCCAGGTCCAGCCATGTTGTTGCATATGACAAGATTTCCTTCTTTTTAAAGGCTGCATAATACTTCATTGCATGTATATACAATTAAAAAAATTTTTTAGGGGCGCCTGGGTGGCTCAGTTGGTTGGGCGTCCGTCCGACTTCGGCCCAGGTCACGATCTCACGGTCCGGGAGTTCGAGCCCTGCATCGGGCTCTGGGCTGATGGCTCGGAGCCTGGAGCCTGCTTCTGATTCTGTGTCTCCCTCTCTCTCTGCCCCTCCCCCGTTCATGTTCTGTCTCTCTCTGTCTCAAAAATAAATAAACGAAAAAAAAAATTTTTTTAATGTTTATTTTTTTGAGAGTGAGAGACAGAGTGAGAGTGGAGGAGGGTCAGAGAGAGAGGGAGGCACAGAATCTGAAGCAGGACCCAGGCTCTGAGCTGTCAGCACAGAGCCCACGCGGGGTTCGTACCCAAGAGATCATGCCCTAAGCCGAAGTCAGAGGCTTAACTAACTGAGCCACCCAGGTGCCCCTATACCACTTTTTTTTTTTTTAATCCATTCATCTGATGATGGCCAGCCAGATTGTGTCCATACCTTAGTTTTTATGAATAATGCTGCAGTGAACTTGGGAGTGCATATATCTCAAGATCATGATTTCAATTCTTTTGGATTTATAACCAGGGGTAGGATTGCTGGATTCTAAGATAAGTGTATTTTTAACTTTTTGAGGAATCTGTATACTGTTCTCCATAGGAACTACACCTTTTACATTCCCACCAGTAATGTACAGTGGTTCCAGTTACTCTACATCCTTGCTAACATTTGTCATCTTTTTTTTTTTCTTCATAAAATCCAACCTAGTTAATTGGTGTGAGTTAGGTGATAACTCATTGTGGTTTTGATTTGCATTTCCCTCATGATTACTGGTGTGAAGCATCTTTTCATGGACTTGTTGGCCATTTGTATATCTTGTTTTTAAAGTATAATTGACATGCAATGTCCTATTAGTAGTCATGTGATGTTTTTAGACATTATAAAATGGTCCTCACTATAAGTCTAGTTATCATCTGTCACTATACAAATTTATTACAATATGATTGGCTAGATTCCCTAGGCTGTACATGAGATCTCCATGACATATTTCTTTTATAACCGGAAGTTTGTACTTCTTAATCCCCTCCACCTATTTTACCTGCCCCCTAACCCCCAATCAAGCCAGCCCCCCTCTGGTAATCAATCATTTGGTTCCTGTATCTGTGAGTCTGTTTCTATTTTGTTCTCTTTTGTTTGCTTGATTGTTTTCTTTTTTAAATTTTGCTTGTAAATGAAATCATGGTATTCATCTTTCTTTGCTTGACGTATTTCATTTAGGATAATACCTTCTAGGTCCATCCATGTTTTCACAAATGGCAAGATTTCATTCTTTTTTATGGCCGAGTCTTTTTTGGGGAAATGTCTTTTCAAGCCCTTTGCCCATTTTTTTTCATCAGATTATTTGTTCATTTGTTTTGTTTTGTTTTACCTTGAGTTGTATGAGTTTCTTATGTATTGGGATATTAATAATATATTAGATACATGGTTTGCAAATATTTTCTCCTGTTCTGTGGGTTGCCTTTCTACTCTGTTGATTGCTTCCTTTGCTGTGCAGAGGTTTTTTAGTTTGATAGTCCCAGTTACCTAATTTCTTTTTATTGCCTTTACTGTTGGTGTCATATTTAAAAAATCATTGCTAAGCCTTAACATCATGAAGTTTTGCCCCTGTTTTTCTTCTGGGAGTTTTACAGTTTCAGGTCTTACATTAAAAATTTTAATACATTTCAAGTTGAATTTTGTCTATGATGTAAGATAAAGGTCCAGGCTTATTCTTTTGTATGCAGATATCCAGTTTTCCCAGGACCATTTGTTGGAGGGACTATCCTTTCCCCATTGTGTATACTTGGCCTTTATGCTGAAGATCCTTTGACCATATATGTGTAGGTTAATTTCTGGCCTCTC